CATAACAATATACCAATATATTCATTGCCATATGGCTCGATTGGATGTTCGTTTAATTCAAGAGATAGTCGTAATTACAAAGTTATTGATAAAGTATCCGGATGACTATCGGCAGCACGGTAAAGCTAGATTAAATTAAAATTCCTTGGGCTAACTGATAGATGACATTATTAAATTTACTATTGGGTTTCGATTAATCTCCTAAGATAATATTGCTGGGGAGACTTTCATTTCACATAAAAGTGCAGTTTACCAAACGATTCTATAACCATTTATGTCAATATATTTTTGTTTTTTGGCACGAGTATATTCGAAAGGTAAGATAGAGCTTGACAGTCTTCTTTACCTATTTTTAACTTAAGACTTTTAGAAGAATGAGTTTCTGCTCTGTAGATGTCCATCATTTAGTAAAAGAAAGCTCGAACCGTTCTTATCCAGAAAGAGGGAAGATGTTTAGTGTACTACGTCAGCCTGAATTTGGTATTAAAGCCAAACTGCCGCAGTACAACGGAAATCAGCCTTCATTTTCTGGTGCGATCAACCTTCGAATGTCATCTTCATGCAATTTCATACGAAATGAAAGTCTCCACAGCGGTAAACTAGTGAGCAAAAGAGGTAATAGGTTGGGTAGAAATGTGTTTAGGAAACCCATATAAACAGGTTCTAAATTAGCTTAGCTTATCATCACTCGTAAGTGATCAGAATAGGAATTGATAAACTGATGTTAATAATTAGTCTGTGTCAAGTAGATCGCCGGGACCAGAAAAATGTTTCCATTAAGGAATATATAAAGCCAAACCAATTTTCCGCCAGGCTTAAGAGACAATTAATTTTCATTATTAATAAATAGCGTAGGGGAAAATTTTTAGGCGAACTACTGAGGCCGAACTACTGAGAAACTAGCCCTCTCCTCAGTTTTACCTTCTTTTCGAGAATCTTTAGACCTTTTTTTCTAGATTATATTGTCATAAGTCTTTGTGCATATATGATAATGTCTGCGGTAAGAGATCTACCAGCCCATCTAGAAGAAAATATGAAAAAGCAAAACTGCCTATAAAGGTCTATCGATCGAAAGATTCTCGTTTGATTAAGGGACATACCGAAATAGACAAAGCAGCCAACGTCCTGAATAAGAGGAACGGGTGGAGGGGATGGCATGCCAACTATGAATGGCTGTTAGATATGCTTACGGAAAGGGATAGACATGGAGCAGGAAGAACCGCTGATTACGAGAAGAAGATTGGATAGGGCAAGCATACAACACACATTACCATATATCGAAAGATGCGCTAAAATTAGCGGATAATCAAGAAAGCAGCTGCGAAAACACTTAATTCATTTTTATGACTTAACTTTACCTATTAGCAGATAGGCATTAAATAGCCAACCAAATCATAAGGTGCCTCATCAGGATCACAAAGTCAGGTATAAGAATTGAATAAGTTTGCAGCCAGCAACCTTTTCTCTCAGTTTAGTCTATCATTTAGTAAATTATGGTTTATGGTTCTGGCAATGTCCATCATATGACTGATGTAATCTCAGAACTTGTTTGTCGGAATTACAAAACTGTTAGCCGAGGACTTATTCACTCTTTCGGTTTCCGGTAAGACAAATTCAAAAATTCCTTCTAGCCAACTTTCGCGTTAAAATAAAAACTTGAGTCACACTATACAGATGATGATGATTGAAAGAAGTCTGCTGGGGTGCAATATGTGCGATTTGTACAGCGTATCGAAACTCCGTTTAATTCGAATACTCACAAAACATAACTTACAGAATTTCTCTATCCCTCCACAACCACGTAAATGGTATAGATATCGTGTCGCCGGATCTTCATTCAGGTGCATCCTTCCATACCTCTGTTGGCCGATAGTGAGTCATTCTTTCGTCCGCTGCTTTCAGATGCCAACTCAACCCTGTCTGGTGCCGAGCTACCCACTTCAGTCAGAAACCCCCATCGGATACATGTAGTCTTCACGGAGCCTCAGGGTTGCACAAACATGACTAGAAGTGTGTCTCTGATGCTTGCAGCACCAGAACTAACAGAAGAAGAAGAGGAGACGATGAAGGTAGGGTTGCCTTTAAATGTGACCCGAGTCGAAGGCCCGGCTGAACTTTCCGCAGGACGGACTGTACCTCATACAATGGGTATGGGTGATGAAGCCGTAGAAACAGCATCATTTTCATCCGCAGAGGTTGGGATAACTCCAGGGCATAGGTCGATTTCAGAAGTTCGTGACACTAAATCCGATAGAACGACCACCCGAACAAGACGTCAGACCGTCGGAAATCAAATGCCTTTGGAACAAAATGAGGCCTGGAGGCTGGTGTTCACCTGGACTCGATCGCCCGACCTCTACGAGTTCGGTGAGGAGGGCTGGAGCAGTGTGGGCGCTCCACCAGGCACCCTATCTGGCGTCTACGGACTGTACAGCGTCAAACTATTCTATCGCTTGTGGCATCATGGCCAGGCGATGGCTGTCTTTCCGGATGCCCACCCGGAAACAGGTAAGATGGAGCTTCCACAGCCCTTGTGAAATTTTATTCGGTCAAATGAAAGGCATATGAGAAGAAATGTTGTGTTTAAAGGAATCTCTTGGTTTATAATTGTTAAGCTCATTTCCATTTCGAATTCGTGTATGTGATGTAGAGATTTGAGGGTCAAACCCAACGGAAGACGACGCCGGAATACTTTTGGTCAAACACCGTTGGGTTTTACTAATTCCGAGGAAATCTGCTTCGATTCCTGTGAAAGCGGGCCAAGCTTTCATCAGTCACATGACTGACATGTTTGCAGCAAAGCACAAAATTAGAGATGCAATCGAAATCAACCGAGTTGGTAAGAAATATGGAG